CACTTTGACTTAATGTGTATAAAATCCCAGCTTAACTCGTTGTCACTTTGACTTAATGTGTATATAATCCCAGCTTAACTCGTAGTCACTTTGAAAATCCAGATTTAATGAGCATTTCCGGGGAACTGTAGAATCCAAACTGTTTTGAACGAATCGGTTCTTCAGCAACATGGAAGTTCCAGCTTCAGGTCTTTGCGCAAGCCAGGACGAGAAAGATATTTGGGAGAACATTTCAAGGCAATAAGACAACACACTGTATAAGATGTGGTTCAAGGAAAGTGGTCCCGCAAAGGGCGGATAGCTTAGTTAGTGGAAGGGGAACTGTTGCTAAGAAAGGGAACAAGGACGGAATTATGTTCATGTAGCAGCCTATGAGATATATTAATGGCACTTATCCCTCAACAGAAATACTTACTAATAATATGTTTCTGTAACATGAGCTAATTAAATGGTGAATGAACGTCGAAATACGGAAATATATTTTTTTAGGTCTTCAATACCATTAACAATAAATTCACCCTCTCGCACACGGTCCACCAACCATAAATAAAAATATACGCTAGATTCAAATAACAACAATAGAAAACTCAACCTACTCTTCTGAAACAGTAGATCAATTTAAGTTGTCTTCTATAAGCTGTTTCACTGGACTGTTTAAAATGTCCATTTCGAGGCAATAACGGTTTGTTTGTAAGTCACTCTATGTTATAAACTTATCCGTGTGAGCAGTGTTGTTCACTCACACTCGAATGGTGCTGTTATTATTTAACATGAATCGTGACCAATCATAGAAATCAAGCAGTATCAAACTAAGGATTTCCACATGACAGTTGTATAGTTATTTGTTTTATATTAGATTTCATAATATAATACAGTGTATTCATGATGTTATTTCTGAGCACAATCGCTCTTGAAAGAAACCCATGACAAGTGAAAAAATGTGTTAAAATCAGAGTGTAACGTCAGGTGTGACGATGCATAGAATATTTTACTTTTAGAGCTGCAGACTATTACAAAACGTAATACACACAGAAAACAACTACTAAGGATTTTCAACTTGAAATTAGCAATTTTCCATTGTCAGGTTTCCACCACAGAACATGCTACTAACATTTCAATTAGCATTTGTTCTGTATCTTGGATCTAAGCCTTACTTGTTATTACATCGATGCAAGTGATCTATTTCATGACACAAAATTAAAAAAAACAACAACAATGATGTAAAATATCAAATAACATATGTATATATAAAAAGTGGAAGTGTTAAGTTTAATGTCTGTTTCTGGATGCTAAACATATACACGTATACATTACTTCATTTACACCAGTCTTCTGCCTTGTAACACTGAGATAGAATATTCATTAATTGGTATCCCTGTACTCGGATCATGTAGAGCAACATTTTATTTATTTTTTGTCTTTCTAGCTATCTGATCTCTAAAGTTTGTTCTACAAGAAGTAAAACGCCTAAGATGTTTGATTTAAGATCAGTTTTTAATGTTTTATAGTTACCTTAGTTTCTATGTCGTGAAGGTCTATTACGTTCGCGCATGCCCATTAACACAGCATAAAGCAATTCGGAAGTTCAGGCTCGGTTGAAAGGCAAGACAGAAGATAAAACTGTGGTTACACTGGCAAATTAAGTTTATTTAAAATAAAAACAAATAAAGCCAGCCCTGAAGCGACAGCGGATGCTCACTACCACATCGTGTTCTCTTGTAACTTAATGTACGTTTTTAAAGCGTGAGTAACGGAGTCAATTTATCAGTTACCTGCAGGAGAAAAGTACACACATGTGGCCATCGCATGAAAGATATGTTTGTACTCTCGAGAAAACATTTCAAGGTAAAGCTTTCGAAAGGAAGGCCTGATATAATCTTGTACACGTATACGAACTTTGTTTAACGTAGGCAGCATCGACCTTGAAAACACCTGCGAAACTTGTTTAGAATAAACTTAAGACATTAGTAACTGGAACATGAACGATACGTAACACTACAGTGGTTAAACATTTCTACCGTTGACATCAATACAATTTGACATATACTGGTGTTTAGAACAAAGATCGCACGCCTGTCACGTATGTGCATGTATGGTGTGTACGATAAAACATAGCATTTACTTACTGATAAAAATACTTATCAAATTACGATGATCCAAAAGTAAAAAAAAAATTGGGTCTCTAATTCTTTAACTGTCAAATCAAAGCACGCAATTCACATGTAAATCAATACCTACTTTACATACAAATTATTAAATGTGTATTTTTATTCTGGACTCACCGAAGAAATCTTCCCAATTCAGCGAGTCGTCAGACTCACAGTCTTGACCAAGGTTAAGTTTGGAATGGGCGCAGAAAGACGGGTCAAGCATGTTGTGGTCATCACTGACCTGAGTGCCACGCTTGACCATGGACAGGCTGACATCAAATGGTCGACAGCTCCGAGTAGAGAACTGGCTTCTATCTTGTTTCACCATCCGTGGTAGTAAACACACATTAAGAGCCGCAGGATGTGTCTTGTTAGTCACAGCAGAGCACACGTTCCACGTCCATAGGCCAGCGATTAGCGTCCGGGGGTTACCATTCAGTCCCCCTCTTATAAAACACTCACGTTACATTGGTTACGACATATAACGCAAAACCGTAACATCAAAATGCTGCGAGTGAACTTCACTGTTTGGAGTGCTTTTATCCATGCAGCGTGACGAAACGTAAATTTACCTTTGGAAACTGTTCACTCGACAATTTTCCACTACTGCTCAGGTACCCTTGAAAAACGGTATTCTTGGTTCCAGTTTTCTCCTCAGATCCTTAACATCATTATCTTGTAGCAGCTTCCTTTAACTTTCAGTCTTTGGATAGCTTAAAGACAATACAGTCACCCTTTGATACAGGCTTTTTATATGATAACAGCTCTCGACAAATATTTGTTGTTGTTGTTACAATTATTCTTTCACGAAATTAAATATTAGGCTACTCGAATCCTCAGAAAATCTTAAGTACAAGATCACGTAGTTTGTTACAAGGAACTACAATCACCATTGATTAACTTTCACTAATTTCAATACGAGCATTCTTTTTTCTTTTCTCCAAACACCGAAAATGGTGAATCAAATCACGGCTCATGGCGACGTGTAGATCCTTCAACACCAAATCAAATATAACGTATGCCAAGCTCACCATAGAGATTCACTCATTAAAAATGCGCATTCCGACCACGATTACACCGTTCATTACTTTTGTTTTTTTACTAATATTACAATATCATGAGACACCTCGTTGTCTCTCTGGGTAAAGTTTTACAAATTTACTAATCCCCTGGACAGTTGTCACGTCAATATTTGTATGTGGTAGTCACCAGGTCAAAATTTGCGACAAGCCAAGAGCCCAGGGGTGGCGGACTTGCCAGCAAAAGCACGTGTTTCTGAATAGCGGGTGCGAGGGTCGGATAATCTACCCAGCTAGAAGCCCACGTCTCTGCCAATGGAACGGCCTATGTTGGGCCGAAGGGGAGGACAGGTAACAGCTGACTAATTATTGCCTCCAGTCTTGGGGCTACGTCTGACTCAGCTGTCGGGACCGAAGAGCTACTCGTCGTTTATTTTCCTTGTGGCGCCAGAGAAACAGCAACAGAAGGCTCCTCCTACGTTCAGAGACTCTGAAAAGAAGGGTTAATCACCCTTTTGTTCCTCATGAAGGCGTTACACATTCTTTCCGTTCATAACCCTGTTCCACCTGTGATTATTAATGCAAGCTTGTTGACACACAAAGAACCCATAGTAGAAACGAAAGCTAAGTTTTGTCGTTTTCTTGCAATAAATTGATTAATGAAAACGCATTATCAAAATGTTCATAATTTTTTGTTTCGACAGGAATGCGCTATCTGTAAACTGTTTCATTCAGTGTTTATATGCTGCGTCTCGGACGGAACGTTTACAAAACTACTGATGTCAGGTAAGATTACAAACTATCGCATGTAACGCGCACTTTTGATACTTTTTTTTTCCTTCCCTAAGCTCTTACAATAGAACTAATATAATAAACTGCAACGTATCTCAGATTTGATAACTAATTATTACATTACCGTCATGCAAACTCGCATGTCTTTCCAGGACCAAAAGAGACCGAATTGGTTGTAATACGCGCATTGGTAAATTGCATTCACGGTTTGTCCATGATATACACAGCGCCCTCTCACATATTTCCCAGTGCTTCACAAATCGATCATTAGCACATGATAAATGTGGACGCGCTGACTGACTGTATCAGAGCATGTGGCATCCTTCAGAATAAAAAAATACGATTCTTCGTTGCACACATAAAGACGCTGTGTGTTTAAACTTACCACGTTTTACTAATTGGCGTTTCAATTTGTCTCTTTATTTTTGATGGATGGAGAAAGAAAACAGCGCACTCGTTTCATACATCGAGCGCTAAACACCACCTACGCCATTTTGTTTGAGATTATTTTTCACAGTAAAGTATTCTTATGATACCTCTGCTTTGGGCTTAAAGTAAACGTTAATTTATTTCAAGAACGTTTAGATTTTAAAATGTCAGTGAAAATCCACATATTTATATGTAGTACAATAAGAAAAATAGGCATCTATACAGAAGAATGTTACCTAAAAACCGTTTTATTAGACTACTTTTAACTTGTCACAAAGTTAAAACAAAAAGGGAGGAAGGGTTTGTTACTATACAGTCGACCTTCTGTTAACAAAGCACAAACAGTAAGATCGAGCTCCGCCTATATACTATAGTCATTCTTCACTTGACGAACAACGCCAAGGTTAAAACTTTGAAACTTTCGATATGCCCTTAGTAAAAGTAAGTCAATATATTTTTGTGTATATATAAATAATATAAGTGTTGAAGTTTTGAAGCTCTAGTAAGGATGCAGCACGGACTCGGGTTGCCAGGTTTTCGTCACTCAACATACCACAAACACCACATCTATGCTTAAAATGTGAATGTGGGTGTCGTAAAGGAAGTGTACGCCAGCGACTTTGCTAACCATGAAAATGGCTTATTGCATTTCAGTAATCTAATACAGTATTGTTACGCCTTTTTTTTTACGTGTTTGTGTTGTACATTCAGTAATGTTGAGCTTAATTAACATCTGTATAGGTCGAAACTGAAGTCTTTATCCAGTTTCAAAACTTTCTGCCAGATTTGTTCTATTTTCCCTTTACACATGCACACATGTGCAAATAGACCCACATACACATATTCCAAACTTTTAAGTTAAACTGTAGCCTAACCATTATTTTCTCTGGCCTTATTAGTTGTATTTATGAACTTTTGGACTACTGATCAAAGGAAAGGTCACAAGTCAACAGCACCAGACTATCCACCATACACGCTAACAGACTGACTGTCACGCATTCTTTGCTTAAAATGTGGAAAATATTCCGTGGTATCATATGGATTCGAAACCAGCACCCGGCCTCAGTACTAAATCTTTACGCTAGAATTAGTCCAATTTCGTTAAAAAAATACACGACGTATTGCAATGTATTTGGGTGGAAAGGGTGGGGGTGGGGGTAAATTTGTTACAAACAGAACAACTTAAATTACAACAATGAGCAAATTCATAATCAGTTTTATAAATTTTCGCGCCGTGTTAAATTTTATAATTCTTCTCTTAAATTTCATAGTTTATATTTAAAAATAAAATAAATCTAAAGCCCCCCCAGTGGCACAGCGGCATGTCTGCGGACTTACAACGCTAGAAACCGGGTTTCGATATCCGTAGTGTGCAGCGCACAAATAGACCATTGTGTAGTTTTGTGCTTAACTTCAAACAAACAATAAATCTAAGAGATATTGTCGAAAAAATGCTTCTGACGAAATATTTACGTAACGCCGTCATGATGCTCGCCGAATTATAAAAAACAAACAAAAAAAAACGAAAACACTTATGTGAATAAAATTGTTTATTACAACGAACCCAGTTCATATATTCTTGTGGGATAATCATTCAAGTTTTCAAACCCAATTTTCATTAACAATTAACCATGACAACTTTCGTAAATCCACAATCAGACATAACTCAATTTACAGCATTCATTAAGCCTGTATTAACATGGTAATATTAGCAGAGAACCGTAAAACATTTGTGGGAAAATTAGTATCATTATTGCAACAATACTTCTTTAACTACAGAGATTATATAATAATACAAAATAATTCTAATCGCAGACACTGAAATCTTTAACTTCACTTGTCTTTAGCCTAACATTAGTTAAGTTTTTATTAAATGCGATTTATATTCGATAAAGAGATACATTAAAACTGTAACTTGTATACATTTTTTGCTTTATTTTACTTAGTACTAATTACGTAGTTAATACTATCAATAAATAAACTTTTAATGTTATTCTACGACCCTACGTTAGACCTTTTCAAAAACTTTGATAAACGTTTAATATGTTATTGTACAAAATCTCTACTAAAGTATATTTACATACGTTTTTGTTTACATCCGTTGAAATGTAGTGCGCGCGCATGCGTATTTAGATAGTAAGGTGCGCACGCATTTTCAGGACAGACAAAAACCGAGTATTAATATTATCATAGATAACACAGGCCTGCGATGGTTTTATTATCTTGAAATTTTTACACCTTTTACAGTAATTCCTGTACGCTAAATCCGAAAATGATATCCGTTATTAAAACCCAAACAACTTTAATGAAGTTTAAATTCGCAGGCCTGTGTAACTGGTATGATGGCCAATAGCAGCAATCTTACACCATGGTCCCATACACTCTCAAAACATACTTGGTTCATAACTATATGTAATGAAATTGGTTATGTTTGTATTAACAACAATTCATTACTTACTATAAGGTGTTTAAAGCTGTTGTCATGGTTTCTATCTTTTTCATGCTAAGCCGTATTGAAAGAATTGTAGAGAGAGAAAGGACATAACGTTTATGTTTTGTCGTTCCGCTATGTGACTCATAGATGGCAGGCTAACAAAACTTAAATAACAATGTCTTCTTAACAACGTATTCAACTCATTTTTCGTTAGTTTACGATAACCAGCTAGTGTCATCTTGCATGTCCAGTTGTTTGAAGTGTATTTTAAAATTTACGTTAATACGGATAATCCACAAGCTACACCAACAATTGATATTTAACCAGACAGATGTCCGATATCTCATTGCAATTTTTACGCCCAATACTTGATGGCGTGAATCATAAATTTCCATATTTCAGTTCAATAAGGTTAAACATTACTATTCCTTTGATTATGTTAACCAGATAACTTCAGCAACGAATCCTAAGGCTAATCCAATGTATAACACTAAAGAGCATGTCATTTAATTAGCGGTATTTTCAAGCAGATCAATTCAATTCGTGAAACTTTGGCATTCGTTCTTTGCAGCGTTGAGAATTTTTGAAATTCAATTAATTAGAAATAAAACGTCCACAAAAGTTATGTTACAGAATTCGTCAGACAAATTCAAACAGGTCTGTAAAATTTGGTTTTTATGAGACCCAAATGAATATTAACACCTTACTTAGAATACATTAAGTATACAGAGAGAAGGGCTTGGTTGTTATGGCGCTCAACTCGCAATGTGCGGGTCGCAGGTTCGAATCCCCGTCACCGAACATACTCGCCCTTTCAGCTTTGGGGGCGTTATATTATGACGGTCAATCCCATTATTCGTTGGTAAAAGAGTAGCCCAAGAGGTGGCGGTGGGTGGTGCTGATTAGCTACACTCCCTCAAGTCTATCACTGCTAAATTAGGGACAACTAGCGCAGATAGCTCTCGAGTAACTTTACGCGAAATACAAACCAAAACAAAATACAAAGAGGATAAGGGGACAGGCGGATAGCCTACAAATAAAGTAGAAATTTAACATGTACGTATCTTCTTAGACAATAAAATCATTAAATTATCAAACTGGATAATGAATAGGATTACCTTACCAACAGCTCCCGTTCATAACTGAAACACATCGACAGTTCTACACATTCCGATTCAGGTACGAGTCAATCGATGTTACCTTTTGCAACAAACAATAAACACGTATTACATAAATACAGCAAGTCTACAACTACGGGCTGGTGCGACACACACACACACATAAGTGTTGTACTTTCCGTATTTTTGTATTTAATGTTTAACGGCACATTTCATCATTTCGCAAATTTTGTATCGTTTTCTGTTACTCCACACCTTCTGCCCCCACCCCCAGTGGCACAGCGGGATGTCTGCGGACTTACAACGCTAGAAACCGGGTTTCGATACCCGTGGGGGACAGAGCACAAATGGCCCATTGTGTAGCTTTGTATTTAACTTCAAATAAACAAACAAACCACATATTTTTGTTCGCTTTTATTATCTACGTACAACCTAAATGAAAATAAAAT